CCCTTGGAATCGGATAACACCTTTAATGGACAATGTCAACAGGCTATTGAAGCTAGAGATGCCTTTACGTCGAGGAACTTGAATCAACGTTTAGCGTCGGCTCTTTTATTCCAAAATAGACGAAGGGCTAACATTAGATCTAGAAGAGGTTCCAGTGTTACGTCTTCATCTTCATCAAGTCATAGTCAGAACTTTCAGAGATCTGCCTTTGATCGGGCTTCGGATTCAAGAGCGCGTTCTACAAATGTGGCTGTTACTAGAGGCTCATCCTCATCTAGGGGTAGAGGTAGGGGAGGTAGATCTTTTCATGGATCAAGATCAACTTCCAAGAAATATTGACTCAAGTCTCACTCTTCAGCGTTCTCTTCCTTACGAAGTGGAAACGTCCCTCGAAAATGATATTGGATTTGGAATTTGTATGTCCGGTGACGCAATCTCCAGTAGGGGGCAGAATGGCCCAATACTTAGACAATTGGAAACTAATAACATCAGACGAGTGGGTCCTGTCTGTAGTGAGCAGGGGCTTTATTCTTCCTTGGCACAAGCAACCTCCAGTGACTTGTTTTCCAGAGGGTCGTCGGTTTTGTCTTCAAGGCTAGCATTTAGTGGGTGCAAACTTAGCAATAAATCAGCTACTGGAGAAACGGGCAATCATAGAACTTCCTCCAGGGGATCAGACATGCAGGTTTTTTTCACCGGTATTCCTAGTCCCCAAGAAATGCGCATGATAATAGACTTGAAAGTGTTGAACAAGCTATTTTTGAGGAAACCGCCAAAGTTCAGGATGGAATCAATTGCAAACCTACGCACCTTGATGTGTCAGGATTCCAAGTTTATAAGTATAGATCTAAAGGATGCGTATCTTCATATCCCTATTCATCCAAGATCTCGCAAATACCTAAAATTTGCAGTGAACGGTCGCAGGTTTCAGTTCAGGGTGCTGCCGTTTGGGATATCTCTAGCGCCGTGGTTGTTCACGAAAATAATCTCCCCGATTCTGGCTTTTTTTCATCAACGAAGGATTGCGATACACGGCTATCTGGACGATTCTTGGCAAGGAATGTGGTGCCAGCGGTTCTCAGCAAACCAACTTTATGATCCACGTGTTTACACATCTGGGTCTAATAGTTCATCCTAACAAGTCAGAGCTGGTCTCTTCTACGAGAATCAAGTTTCTGGGAGCAATCTTGGACTCAAGAGCAGGCCGTATTTATACTCCTCAGGATCATTGGGTGGAAATATCAACCAAGATAACCAACTGCATCAGTTCGTTCATGGATGTCCCTTCTAGGAACTCTCACTTCAATCCAGGATTATACTGTAAGAGGAAGATTAAGGGTTGAGAATCCCGCAGATCTGGCTCAACCAGTCTCGGATGGAGGACTTGGAACTGCTCATAGCCTGTCCAGACAGAGTCCGAAGGGAGATATTATGGTGGTCCTCGTTTAACGGATCTGACACTTTATGCGGATGCCTCAAACACGGGTTGGGGTGCACACATGGACATTTGGCAAATTCAAGGTGTGTGGAATCTGTCAGAGGTGAATCTGCATATAAACTGCCGGGAGATGTTAGCACTGTTGAAAGCGATTCGTTGCTTGGGGAATCACTTGTACGGGAAGAGTCTCATGTTAGTGTCGGACAATTCTACGGTAGTGGCATACATCAACAAACAGGGAGGTACCAAATCTCAACAGCTCCTCGGGATCACTCAGGATCTGTATTAAGCAGTGGACGCTATAAATTGTTTAATCAGAGCGAGCCACATTCCAGGTTAGAAGAATATCCTAGCGGACTCATTATCTCGACAGGACAGAGTGATCTCGACCGAATGGACTCTCAAGGAAGAAGCATTCGATTTGATAGGACAGAAGTGGGAATTTTCGGATACCAATGTTTGTGAGTACAGTACCGGATCCATTAGCATGGGCAGTCGACGCCCTATCCATATCGTGGGAGGGGATGATAGCCTATGCGTTTCCTCCGTTCAAACTAATTCCAGAGGTTCTGTTAAAAATTCAACAACACGACTGTCTAGTTTATCTAGTGGCACCAGCGTGGCCTGCCAGACCTTGGTTTCCCACCTTACTACAACTATTGGTGGACAAACCTCTATGTGTTCCGTTGTGGCACATTTTAATCAGTCAACCCAAGTCCAACAGAGTTCACAAGAATGTCAGGCTACATGTATGGAAGCTATCTCAAGGTCACTCAGGAATCAGGGATTTACAGTTGAAGCTACCAGAGCTATTTCAGAATCCGTTCGAAATTCCACAGCTGCCTTGTATGACGCTAAGTGGCGACAATTCATCCAGTGGAGACGAGAGTGTGGAATCTTGGATGTACCTGTCACCATTCCAGTGATAGCGGATTTTATCTTGTTCCTAAGAGAACAGAAACATTTGAAGCATAATACTATTGAGGGATATCGATCAGCTATTTCTTCAGTCATGGATGTTCAAAGTTTATCTGTGGGCTCAGATACATCGCTTCACAAAATGATCAGATCTTTTCTGATTAAGGATATATCGTCTCCAACGATATTTCTTAAGTGGGATTTAACATTAGTACTTCAATCTCTTCAAAAATGTCCTTATGAGCCTATGCAGGATGCTTCTCTAAAGTATCTGGCATTTAAGACGGCTTTTCTTTTGGCATTTGCAACAGCTTCCAGAGTGTCGGAATTACATGCTATTGACTTTAAATCCATCAGGATATAAACAGATAACTTTTAGAACTGTTCTGGAGTTCATTGCCAAGAATCAAACTTCAGCTTGTGGTCCTTTCGGACATACCGGTAGGATATATCGTATACCTCAGCTTCCTACCTCTACCTCTAGATCGTATAGGACTAGACTTTTGTGTCCCATACGTGCCTTGCGCTGGTACATTCAGCGTACTTCGACGTTTAGACGAAATTGTCGCAGAATGTTTGTTTCATGTAAAACAAATGTAGACTCGGAGATATCCAAGAATACCATATCTTCATGGCTCAGAAAGACTATATCTTTTGCTTATAGGGATCAGAATCAAGACTTAATTGATCTTAAATTCTCCCCCCATGAAATTAGAGCCCTAGCTTCATCCTTAGTGGCTTGGTTGTCAGTTCTGTTAGAACAAGTTGTGTCTAGTTGTCAATAAAAATCTCCTAATACCTTTATCCAATTTTACCTCAGGGATGTTGCTCCCTCTATTGAAGGTTTACATCCATTAGGACCTTTAGTAGCGGCTCATCACCTTGCCTCCGCCTGACTGCCTCTGTGTGTGTGTGTGTGTGTGTGTGTGTGTGTGTGTGTGTGTGTGTGTGTGTGTGTGTGTGTGTGTGTGTGTGTGTGTGTGATGGATGGATGGATGGATGGATGGATGGATGGATGGATGGATGGATACTGGTCAAGGGACAGCATGGAGCCAGAAAAGTTGACATGGCAAGAGAATTTACATTTAGATATATCACCTAACCGAGCACAATATGGACAGAGTTCTAACTTCTGAGCTACGGTTGATGGCTTCACGTTTGAATATGATTATGAGCTCAAGGTGGTTACCTAGGGTTGGGTTGAGTTGAACGCAATTATAGTCTAATGACAGTTAACCGGAAGTGATGTCATTGAACCGGAAGTGACGTCATTAAACCGGAAGTGACGCCATAAGACCGGAAGTGACGTCTAATTAGTATTACATCATGGAGATTGTCTCTAGGAACCGGAAGTGACGGCATTAGACCAGAAGTGACGCCATAAGACCGGAAGTGACGTCTAATTAGTATTACATCATAGAGATTGTCTCTGGGAACCGGAAGTGACGGCATTAGACCGGAAATGAGGTCATCAAACAGGAAGTGACATCATAATTACCGGAAGTGACGTCATAAGTTTAAGGAATATTAGGTTTAATTACACAATTCGGGATTCGAATACAATCATGATATATTCATAGGAATCTAGCATAATCCGGATTTAAGGAGTTAGGAATTATATAATTCCTACTAATACTGATTAGGATAATCATGATATCTATCATATCAACCATAACTATAGGAAGTTAGAACACTCTCCATCTCTGGGAATGTATTCCCTCACTGCTACTGACCAATCTGGAGATAAATTAGTAATAAAGTCATAGTTATTCTTAGGAGGTTGAGTAATCAACTCTCAGTTAGTGGTATAGAGGGTAGTATCTTCCAAGGGTAACCCTCCTTCCTTACTTGGGATTCAGGCTACCATAATCCAGAGGGAATGTTTACGTTATAATTAGGAACAATTACATGTATTGTTTGTAATTGTTAGTAAACTTACCTCTGGATTATGGGGAGTAGTTCCCACCCTGTGTCCTCCCCGCGAAATTATCTTAAGAAGATGTCATAGATGTGTTGTTTTTTAGAAAAATTATGAAGGGTTCTTGGAGAACAATACAGTGACGTCAGGATCATGGGAGATAACTCAGGAGTAGATTAGGTATACCACTAGGAATAGCTATGACTTTGTGTTAAAATTTCTTTTGATTTTCTGTATGTATTCTGTGAATCCACAGGAATAAGGCTACCATAATCCAGAGGTAAGTTTACTAACAATTACTAACAATACATGTAATTGTTCCTATCTCACCTCTGTCACTCTTCAAGATGATAGGCTGTATTAAGGCCACTGCCAAACTTCTCTACAGGTTTTGATGTGTTCCCAATTGGTTCATAATTAACATAACAACTATTTTTTTATGAAATGTTAAGTTATTTCTGTGTATCACCTCCTGTTTTTTGTTAAATATGTCTTGATATGATGACGAGTGTGCTGAGAGAGGCCTATGCTCCATACTGCTAGTCTAGTGTTGCTCAAGGTGTACAGTAACTGTATATATGGGTAACATTATACACAATGAGTATTTAGGTTTAGATTTTACAACTTAATGATAAAAAAGAACAATGTTTCTTGAATTTTTATGAATCATACAACAAAATAGGTCAAAATGGTTTTCAGTTTGAAACAGTTTTCACCATTTTCCAGCCAAGGAGATGAGTCTGACAACGTCTCCAATCATTACCAAGGGCTACTCCGGCTTCCTGACTGTCAACAAGACCATCAACAGCAACATGTTCTTCTGGTTCTTCCCGGCTCAGGTACGTCATGTCATGTCTCACTCAGATACATCATGTCCCACACAGGTATGTCATGTCAGGCTACACACATGCAGGTCATGTCATGTTACACACATGCACCTCATGTCATGTTACACACAAGCGCCTCATGTCAGGCTACACACAAGCACGTCATGTCATGTCACACACAAACACATCATGTCATGTTACACACAAACACATGTCAGGCTACACACAAGCACATCATGTCATGTTACACACAAGCACATCATGTCATGTTACACACAGGTACCTCATGTCATGTTACACACAGGTACCTCATGTCATGTTACACACAGGTACCTCATGTCATGTTACACACAGGTACCTCATGTCATGTTACACACATGCACCCCATGTCATGTTACACACAGGTACCTCATGTCATGTTACACACAGGTACCTCATGTAGTGTTACACACATGCACCTCATGTCATGTTACACACATGCACCTCATGTCATGTTACTCAAAGGCATGTCACACATCTGATTAATTTTGTTGCTAAATACTGACACTATATTTTCAAATTATACTTAATGTACCATGCACCTATCATTCGAGCAGCTACTCAGTTGTTGCAAATACCTGTCATCATGGTTTCAAATAAGAGATTTTCCCTTCCTATTCCATCCCTCATAAACTGTCCACCAGTCAGTGATATGAGTCCCTATATGTTAATTTATTGATGTTGAAACTATTTATATCTCTAAATATATGTAGAAAATAATCCAGAAATTTGTCTCAACAAGCAACAGATCATATTGACACATCACTAGGATGTATGTGATACTTAAATGACATATGTATCTTCATATTTGTGTATGTGTCGTCGCTAGGTGGGCCCAGCTCTTTGTTACAGTTCTACCATCATATCTTCTGTATCACATTGGTGTCAATGCTTATCAACCATCTAGAATTTGAAATTTATTGATTAATATACACTTACCACAGTTATTACCACAATAATCGTTATGTTTTTGCATTCAAGGATAATTATTAGTGTTGGGCCTTTTCCAAGTTTACTAGTATTGACAACTGAGCCAGTACATGTCAGTCTTGACTGCTGGATAACTGCTGTTCATTCCAAGACGTCATCATTGTCATTTAGAATGATGTACTGGTACATTACTTTCGTCCTTGTCTTTGTGAGCAAGTAAAGTTCTGCTGTTTGCAAGTGGTCAACGCAAAAGGAACAATTACTGAAGTCTCTTTTGAGTCATTATTTCCGTTCTAATGGCAAAAGTGTTGCAACGTTTTACTTATTTTTCATAATATTTTTTGCACTTACTAAAACGCCTTTTCATTACCACACATATGCTGTTGTGTGATGTTGTCATGGCATCTATATTCTTATAAGAACAAAATGTTTTACATGTAGGATACTTGTAGGATTGTGTAATCAGTCATGCAGTGTGTGAAATAGCCATTGGCCCGCTAGCCTGTGGCTAGTAAAAATTCAGTCGGGCCAGTAAATCTCCACAGTCACTGGCCCAACTGGCAAGTGGATGTTCATGGGGTCATTTTGTAAATATATCTTTCACTCCGACTTGTTAAGTTATAATACACTTTTAAATCATGCAAGATTATGGCCTGATAAAAATGTTCTTCATATTAGCAGCTTAAAGATGAAACCCATGTCTACATTCAAATTTCAGGCTTGTGAATTATTTTGTGGGCTCGTAACTTTCAGACATAGCTAGTCCGACTGGCTAGCAAAATATAGAAAGTATTTGGCACACTGCAGTCATGTAGATGTATATTAACCACAGTCACCTGACAATGTGATCACCAACTCTTGTTTTACTTCTCCTCAGTACTGTTAGTGGTGGGAAATCAATGTCATGTCATTGGGAAACATTCTTCTTTTTTGATCTGCAAATGTTCTCTGTTGGGAGTTAGAATAGGTATCACAGCATTTTACAAACTACAACAGGTTTAAATGACAGTTTTGAAACGGAAAGAGGTAAGTATTGACTCATTAGCTACTGTAGTCTGTATTTATGACACTTCTATAGCCAGGGTGGATCATAAACAGTCATGGTCCTCTATTTTTCTTTGTGTTCCAAGAATCCTACTGAATATTATTTACTGGTTGGTGATTGGCTGAGGCTATGATTTTTGTCTTGTACTTACTCAGCATCTGTTATTTATGTGTAATTCAGTGTCTGATTTAATTAGGGATACATGTTTGGCCAGTGGTTCTGGACACAGTTTGGATGCATTATTTAGGGATAAATATCTAAAACCTGGATCAACAAGGGAGCCAATTCTATGGATATACAACTGCTCTATTACAATCACTGCAATGTATCAGTTATCAATCACTTACTGTGTACCATGTTAGTATCTCATCCAACACATTGTTTTACAGTCCTGGAAACATGCAAGGTTGCTGTCGTAATTATATCAAGCATGAGATCTCCGAAGGTTTGTTTCTCATTTTTGACTGACTGAACAAATGTTACTCTAATGCTTTCCCCACAGACTGATCCTGCCAATGCTCCTGTGTTGCTATGGTTACAAGGAGGTCCTGGAGGTTCATCTCTCTTTGGTCTGTTTATAGAACACGGACCAATCTTGGTGGATGCACATGGGAACTGTAAGTACCAGTCTATCAATAAGGTCAGCACTAATGCTTCCATGTTGTTTGATCCAGGGTGGATTCAGGGTAAAATCCCCATCCTGTGGCTTATGCTTGGATTAGATGATCAAGCTCTTTGCCTTGACGTAATGTGTATCATCATATCACATTTCCCTTGATCTTTGCTCCTTTTTTATTGGCACGTGATGAAGTACACCTGTTTCGATTTGTTGTGGAGGATGTTTATGTCATCCTCAGGTTGCAGCTATCCCTTGTGGTGTCCCAGTTTCAACTATCCCTAACCCCAGCTTTGTTAGTGGGATGGCTTGTTGGAAGACCCCTGCTGTTGCTTCCTCTCCTTGTTCTTGCGAGGAAAGCGTTAAGACAGGTGGCAGATTGTATTGTCCATATTGTCTGTAGTTTGCACTGTTTGGCGCTGGGGGACCCTTTGAGGGTTTCTTAGAGTCTGGGATCTTTATTATATGATTTTCAATTTCGTAGTTACTAAATATGCAATTTTTGTCTCCTCTTTCTCACTCCAGTACAAAGACGAAACATAACCTGGAACAGCAAGTACTCCATGCTGTATGTTGACAACCCTGTGAGTATGTGAGAAGATATTCTCATTTCATAAGCATACATATTTCAAATTCAGTGCATATTATTATGCTGTTATTGGTCACCTGGCTGATAACGTGGCAAATAAAAATTTGAAGATCAATAAAAGAAATATTTTTTCAAATTGTATGTTTTGTCGACTATGTCTGCATCAATACTTTTACGAGTAAGTCTTGAGAACAAACTTATTTTTTGACTAAGGCTTAATATCTATATCTATTTGTCCATACATTTAAACCCCGGCCTTTAACCACTGTTTGCACTTGACCCAATCTGTGTGTGTACTGTAGTGACAGTGGCAAGGGGTCAGGATGTTTAAACAATTGTGTATATGTACTGTATTTGTATGACTGTGTTCAAAGTAGTGGTTTACCAATTAATTAAAATAATCAAAGATCAAAGGACCAAGCAATCGATCACATTTTCTCATAATTGAACACGAACGATTTTGGAACCACTGTTTTAGTGTTTGAACCACTTGATGATGGAACATATCTTAGAAGTTGTCAGGGCCAGAAAACTTGTTTAATTCTTAGAAAACTCACTTCACTTACTGAAAAGTCATGACTGAATATTTCTTGAAGTCCCCAGGAAGTTTATGTTCATGATATATTAGTCATCGCTTTAGCAAGTAGCAAGTTGTATTGTTTTACATTGTATGTGAAGTTTGCAAATGCAATTTGTGCAGTTTTTGAAACAAAAAACAACAGATAACCATGTTATACTTATGTGCAATAACAACCTGAAAAGGAAAATCCAACAAATGATGCTAACCAATTTCTTCCGATGATTGTTCGTTGGTAATGAACCAATCATCAATTGTGAAATTTCAACCAATTCCCCACACTAGTTCAAAGGCAGTCCTACTTCCTGCATCCAGCCAGATAATGTGGAACAAACCTGCTCCTGGTCAATTATGTCTTCCGTGGCTCAGTGTGAATAGTTTCATTAGATGAGGTGGTGTTAGATCCCGCCTGAGGATGGCCTGGTACCTTAAGTATGGGAATGAAGAATGTATGTCTACACTGCTGCAAGTAAAGTACTGATAAGAACTTTCCTTAAAACATGGATGGTTTCCATAGTCTTCTCCCATACAGTACGCTACACAGGAGTCCGTTGGTGGCATGGTGGCAGTGGCTTAACAGTCATCAGGTTCAAACAAGTTGTCTTTGACTAATTAATCTGAATTGTCAGCAAACGTGTAGTAAATACACTGAACATAGAGAGAACATGCATAATTGTGATCTGTACATTGAAAGGGAGAGGTGTATTGATCACCAGAAGAAAGTACAGCATTTTTAGAATATCTGGAGTGTGAAGATGTGCTTACTTGTAATTTGTTTTCAGGTAGGAACTGGTTTCAGCTTCACGGGGGAAGATTCGGGCTATGCTACTAATGAGGAAGATGTGGGAAGAGATTTGTACAGGTCAGAGCAGTATTCAGCGAGCTCACTTAGCTCTTGTTAAATGAACTCAACAGGAGTAAACACATAAGATGGACTGCGTCCAGACTGAGCACTTGACTGCTATCACAGGGGGGCATTAACCTGTCTACACATCTGTATTTCCATGTGTCTCAAAACATTTCTGGAACAGAAATGAGAAACTGTTTGGGCTACATTTATGTAACATAGTACACACATTCACACTAAACTGTTGTGCCTTGGTTCCTAAAACATTTTCTAATATTTACCAGTTTGTTCTGATGAGGGTAGGGTTCATTAAATCTGTTTAATATTTCTTCAGGGCACTTCAGGTGAGTGTTAAACTGGTGCCTTCTGTAAATCAGACTTGGTTTCATCAGCAGCCCCATGGAACAGGTCCTAAGTCACGTTTTTTGTTTGTATCTGACCACAACTGCAGATGAATTGTCTTCTGTCTTCTACACAAACTTTCTTGACATTATTCTTCCATGATTGTTTTCCAATGCTCCTGGGAAATTCATTTGGCATGTCAAAGAAGGTCACAAGTTTATGTTTTTGAGTATACATTTTTGGGTACATTTTAGGTACATTTTCTCCAAACATTTCAAGAAAGTTTATCATTGAACTCGGTATGAAGCTTCTGTGATTGGGCCTTGCTTTGGTGTTTGGTCAAGGCCAGCTCTCAGTTTATTGTAGAGCATGGTTATAGCATTGCCTGTTTCTATTGCAAGGTTACCCCAGGATAAGCCCCCAATTTCTGTTAGGGGGCAGTAAACAAAGTGAAACACAAATCTTAACTTAGTAATTAATTTGCATAGCATTATATTGTTGCAAAAACAGCCACACAAGATCAATGACTAATTAAGAAATTATTTTGAAACACATAGTTTTCAAGTAGATTTACAATTTAAGAAAGTCAATACACTGTGTTAAATAAGTGGTGGCAGCCATCAGTAACAGGCAGTATTACAAACGTCAGTGCTGTAAGAATATTCAGAATTTATGACAGTCATGTGTCTTGAAATAGGCACTTGCTCGGTTTTTGAATCCAGAAACAGTGTTGTCAGGATGTTTGTGTTATCCGATTATTGTCTCCCTCTAGCTGGTCAGATAGATAGGGTGCAAGATAGGTTGTAGAATGGGTTACATCACCTGTGTCACACATTGCCCACACTGTGAACAACTACCATGTTTCATAACTGAAGAACACACTCTAAACTTTGAACAACAGATAATGTTGAACAGCTACCATGTATTATATTTCAAGAACACACCCTAAACTTTGAACAACAGATAATGTTGAACAGCTACCATGTATTATATTTCAAGAACACACTCTAAACTTTGAACAACAGATAATGTTGAACAGCTACCATGTATTATATTTCAAGAACACACTCTAAACTTTGAACAACAGATAATGTTGAACAGCTACCATGTATTATATTTCAAGAACACACCCTAAACTTTGAACAACAGATAATGTTGAACAGCTACCATGTATTATATTTCAAGAACACACCCTAAACTTTGAACAACAGATAATGTTGAACAGCTACCATGTATTATATTTCAAGAACACACCCTAAACTTTGAACAACAGATAATGTTGAACAGCTACCATGTATTATATTTCAAGAACACACTCTAAACTTTGAACAACAGATAATGTTGAACAGCTACCATGTATTATATTTCAAGAACACACCCTAAACTTAGCCAATTTTAAAAAATATTTTCTTTTTAAGAAAATGTTGAACATCTTCTAAGTTTCATTATTCAAGGTTGGAATATTTGTGGTGGATAAATATAATAATAAACATGGTATTTGCCCGGAAATGTTCCAGTTAGAATGTTCATATGAGAGTTAAAGTGGTTTTATGGCAGATTATAGTTATCACCTTGTATGTGGATTTGGCTGCAGACAATGTGATGGTTACTGTTCATTAATCAGACTTCTCATGTGTATCTGTGTCTATTTTATCTCATTGCAGTTGTTTAACACAGTTCTTCCAGATCTTCAAGGAATACCAGAAAAATGACTTTTACATCACTGGAGAGGTAGGATACTGCTTAAGAAGAAGCTCAATCTTCTTTTGAAACCAACACTGTCACGCTGTGTGAAACATGATATGCAAGAATATGTAGCAAAATAACTGCTTTACAATTTTTCTTTATCCTGACTCATACTATACTACAAACAAAAAGTATGGGAACATATATAGTCATATATAGACTTAATAGTGATGAGGTTATTTATACTCTAATGTTACAGTTAATAAGTTGCCGTGAGAAACGGTTTAAAAGTCCCATTTGAACCAGCAAAATAGAACACAGACAAGTCTAAAATATTCAATAATATATTGAGCAAACAATGATCAAGCTACAATGAATGACAATACAGATATCTAGTACAATGCAATTGAGTCACAAATCTAAAATATTTGGTCACATTTATAATATATTAACTCACCAGAGTCTTGACATTTACAGTGAGGGTAGGCATACTGATTGAAGGTTGTTTACAATGACAGCAGTTGAATATAGACGAGCACGGTCAGTCTTGAAATGTAGGTCAGCTTGACGATGACAGACAAATGTGTATAACTCCAGTGATGTGATGAGTCCCATCGCACAATGCAACAACCAGCCTTTATATAGCTCTTACACAGTTCCCGAGCATTCTAGCAAAGCTATATCCAAGGGAGGCAACTCTATCGAAAATTTGTACTGCTCAAAATACTATTGTCATTGAATATACATGATGCGAGATGTGAGCCAAAACCCACACTAAAGACTTACCCATAATAACGATTACTTTATCAATGTGATATTACAAATGACAAAAAACACTCTCGTAACACTAAGGTAAATGCAACTTTTTGTGTGCTTAATGGGCACTTTAAACGACATGTTGGAACATGAAGTGAGCAACTGATTCAATATTCGTTGAGTTTCAGTGAAATGAAACATTGTCCAAAACAGCAAAAAACAAGGGTGATGAAACATAGCTACACCATGTTTGATTCAAATGCCCAAACACAACAGACTAGTGCATGAGGAAGACATGTTGTGGTGTATTCACTTCAACATCTCGAATGACTCCTCTGTGAGTCGACCATCTGCTCCAAAGAGACGTATTCTTCCCATTCACTCGGTTTCCGACTAGAGTTATCCTTCTTGGGACTGCTGTACTCTACTGCGACCAATGACGTGACTGTAACACACCGCCCACAGAACAAAATGTTGTTTAATCTTCAAACTTGTTGAGTTTCTTGACAGAAAACGTTTTCTAGATGTATTCGTGGGTTGGTTGTCTTTTAGATTTCCCAACTTTTAACCGTTGACTTTCCCAAAAATTGACAGGTTTTTGCCAAAGTTTTAACTGTACACCGTCGCCCGTCACTAGACACACATCAGTCGTGAATGAACGATGTTCCGGTGCACTGACTTGATCAAATAACATTTTAGCTGTTATTAAGTTCAATGATATTGCATTAAAAATATCATTTTTATCATATTGACAAATGTTAATAAATTATTCCATAAAAATATTTTGGTTGTATTCTAAAGGGATTTTATGAGGTACTACTTTCCATAGTGTAGTTATGTTATTACCCATGGAGAAGTTTAATAGCGCATGAATACGAATCAGCTGTTTGAGGTCACAAGTCCTGTCTCCGGGTGGTTTTTATTTCGTGGTTCTTTTTTTTTAATGACATCATGGATAATAAATAGAATAACCAACTCGGTACGAGTGATTACGGGAAATATGCCCTTGTTAAAATAATGTTCGTGTTGTGTTTGTCAGAACCTTATCTCGAAAATATTCAAGGTATTCTTTCATAAAACTGCACAAGAACACTGAGTTGTCAACTGCTGCCTTTTGCTACTAGCAAGTTTTGAAATTTGTCCTTTGATATTAGTTTGTACCTGACATAAAAGTCCCAATTCCATGTTATTGTTTTGATAGCTCAATAACTACTCTTGTATACTGATGGACAATTAGATAGAAATTCTCTCATCAAGTTAGACTTTAAGTCTTTGCCTTACTGTATTTTTCTCTTATAAATGTACGATGCACTACCTACTATAAAAGTGCTTTACGCTATGATATCTATTATACTTAGCTATAATGTGTGCTATGCTAACACAGTTATTTCACTGTACCATATTTACCATAGAAGGAACTGAAATAATATCCACAAACTTCAATACTTCTTTCTATAAGTGTATCATGCGCTATTTATTGTATTGTTTTGGCTGGACCAAAATGTTTGCTATGTCAATACGGATATTTCACTATACTACTTTTTGTATGATGATACTTTATGAAAATCAAATGTAACATGTGTCGGGTTCGGGACTACACCTTCTTAGTACTCGATGCATATGTCATGCTTGTCTACTATTTCATCAAATTATATTCATATGCCATCTTGTATGCTTCACTGAAATGCTTGTCTACTATTTCATCAAATTATATTCATATGCCATCCTGTATGCTTCACTGAAATGAATAAAAATATTGAAAAAAAAATGAAAACAATTTTAGACTTTAAGTAATTGTCAGATGATTTGTTCTTTCAAATTTGTAGGTTCTGGAGACTTACAGACTTTTTAAGATTCTTGTCTTAAAAACATCAACCAAGCCCTAACCTGAGAACCACCAGTGAATGATGAAACCATAATCCCACCATAGAAATGGGAAGCGCAGTCTTGCATCGTTCCTATATTTCTGTCCTCTGTTCCCCAGTCGTATGCAGGGAAGTATGTCCCCGCCATCTCCTACAAGATCCACATGGAGAACCCAACAGCTAAAGTGAAAATCAACTTCAAGGGGATGGCTATTGGAGATGGCCTCTGTGATCCAATAACGGTACAGAAACGTTACTCTTTTCTTGCATTTGTTTTGTAAAAAATAAACAAGAATTACATCTGGAAAGATTAATTTCTTTTGGCAGATGTTATGTCTAGTTTGAATGCCATTAATTTCAGTACAGTAGAACATGGATATAGCGAACACGGATATTGCGTACAAACAGATATAGCGAACAAATTTAAAAGTCCCGTCAATAGTCCTTTATAATATCATTAAAATTATACGTGAATAACGAACTCGTGATTAGCGAATTAACGGCTATAGCGAACTGATTTACTACCCCCAAGACCCAATTAACGACGTGATTAGCGAACTCACTCAGTGTCAGCTCAGTGTCAGCTCAGCCACTTAGCGGTATACATCAACGGTGAATCAACATTGGCGGCGAATCAACATTGTTTAATGGTCATTAATTAATTAACAAAACAAACATATCGTGTTTAAAAGCTTGAGTGATATACAGGTCTTCAGTTCACTCTCGTCACTATTCCAAAATCCACTCTCAGTTCCATTATTAAGAATCGCAAATCTATTCTTGCAAAATCTGTGTCTACTGATTTTGGCCCCGCCAGCAAAAAGTTAAGAGCTGCCAATCACCAAGATGTAGAAGATGCTCTCTACAAATGGTTTCAAGGGGCTAGAAGTGAGAACATTCCCTTAAATAGTCCCATGTTGCAGACTAAGGCAAATAAATTGGCATTTAAGTTAGATCATTTAGATATTAATTGCAATAGTGCTTGGATTGACAGATTGAAACAGAGGCGGCGTGGCATCGTATGTAAATCATCTCACGGGGAAAGTGCATCTGTTGACCCCGACCTCGTCAATGATTGGCTGAAAACTCGCCTGCCTGGCTATCTTGAAGAGTACAAGCCTGATAACATTTTCAATGCTGACAAAACTGGCCTCTTCTACAAAATGAAACCAAACAGAACTCTTCACTTTAAATCTGAAAAATGCAGTGGGGGGTAAAAATTTTAAAGAGAGAATAACATTGTTGGTAGCGGCAAACATGACTGGGAGTGAAAAACTTAAGTTGTTAGTCGTAGGGAAGTCAGAAAAGCCTAGATGCTTAAAAAATGTACGCAGTTTGCCAGTAACGTCAATGTGAATGTAATGTCAATGTACAAGAATAAAGATTTGTAGCCTCAGCATATACATGTCTCTACATCTCTACAATCCAAGATGGTGGTCAAATGTGAATAACGAACAACGGATATAGCGAACTAAATTTCTTGGTCCCTTGGAGTTCGTTATGTCCATGTTCTACTGTACTGGCAAGTCACTTTCAGGCTAAAGTTACGTTGTGGACATAGTGGACTGAGATTTACATATCTCTCCAAAAGTGAAATAATTTTATGGTGAGTAGCATTGTGAAAACTCCCAAACGTTTTATTTCAGTAAAGTGTATTCACATTTGTCCATGGTTTCGTCTTTTCACTTAAGCATCAGATGTAAAAAGTATTATTTTTCCTTATCCTGACTCATGCTCTTTTGCTTGTCTTCTTCTTCTTGCGAACATAGTGGAACACTTGTATCTCCTTAATTGAAGCTCCCTTCAATGTAAAATCACTAATTGGTACTCACCACGAGTTGCCTCCTTTGCCCCTTTTGGCGGGAACAGGTGTCGCCACCCTCTGGCCTCATGCTTCACTCTCTCCTTCTTCGCCCAGTGAGCAGGATGTGAGAGCGCCTGTGTCTCCTTACACACTATATCCTTTGCTTTTTCTTAGTTTATTACCTCTTATAGGTTACTATAGAGGTATAGCTAGTATCCTTCATTAATTTGCATTGATATTTAATCGTATTTCTACTGTTTATTCACGGAGTTCGTGATTGTTCAGCTAGTATTTACGCTTGATGAAAATCTGTACCATTTGCAATTTACGTTTTCAATTGCTGACCCGCATGTATTATGCCCTAGTTGTGCTACTTCCTTGCGCGTTTGATACACGCTGCAGTTACTGCATTAATCTATCCAATTCTGCTTTTCATAAATATCTTTGCGCCGTGGAGACGACAGCAGATAGGTCACGCAAAACAAGGGTTAGACATGGCCGATACATCGGATTCCCTTCCAGTCAGCTGCTGTCGATAGACCCTCCCGCCTGGTGTTTCGCAAGAGACTCCGCTGGAAGATGGGCGGGATGCAGTCCGCCACCGCTAAGAAGCGCCCTGCCTCCCCAGACGCCCCGGCCATCGCAGATAAAGTCCAAGAGGGCCACGACGCCTTCCCAACGCAGACTTCGACTCCCAGGGCAGCGCCGACATCCAAGGGGAAGTCCACGGTCGCCAAGAACTTTCTCAGCCGAGATTGTTCCAGCCGCCGAACTGGGCCTCTCTACGATGATCAGCCGATCATCATCCCTGACGCTCGCCACAAGAAGCGACCGTGACAGCTACAGTGACATCAGCAGAGATGGCCATGCAGCCTGATGCCTCTACACTGATGTCAGACGATTCCTTGAGGGGTCAGCAGCTGTCATCGCGAGAGGGCACCACTACTTCGCCGCAGACCATCCCAGACGAAGCTGTTGCGCAGATCATGACCATGATGGAGGGCCACTACAGTCGGGGAAGCAGCCAGCCCAGGGTCCGAAAGCAACGCAGACGATACCCCAGAGGCAACCCCAGTCAGCGTAGCAGCCACGACGAAGCAGCCTTCGAGAAGGAAGTCACAGACCACCTCAACGGCGGACGATGTACAGTCGCCGCTGGCCTCTTCGCGAAGACGGAGAGAGATCATCATCATCCTCGGCCTCGCCCTCAGATGCAGACTCAGACCACCAGACGCCACGGAAACCGGCCACGAAGTCAAGGCGCCGCCCCCAGGTCCGGACGCAGAGGAAGCTGCACGGCGGCCGCCACACAGATCGTCATCGCCCAGAAGGACGCCGAGGGACTATTCAAGAGCTTCAATGGGCCGCCAACATTCTCCTCGCAGATCTAGGTCTTCCCATAGACGAGATCACCTAGACGATCTCCACGCCGCTCACCACGCCGATCTCCACGCATACATCACCTCGCAGGTCATCACACAAGTCGGCACACAGGTCTACACTCAGGTCTCCCCGAAAGTGTCACCCGACATAGAGATAGCAGCCCAGAGGTCACCATCAGAAGAGCATCAACCCTCATCTCCGATGCTGGTACAGAAGATGATGGAGGCATCATCTTCTCAGACGCTTGAGATAAGATATTGGATGGTAAACAACCTAGATTTATCTTCACCGGCCCAAGAGTGGCAACTCAGCGCAGACATACCTGATGAAGGAAGACGATGCAGACGCCATCACCTTACCTCCGATCGACCCGATTGCCGCGGTGCCACATAATCTAGATACAGCCTTCATTAAAGCTACGAAAGTGCAGACTCCACATCTGCCGAACTTTCACGCTTAAGAAGTTCTCCACGCACAACATGGACCCCTTCCTGAAGGCACAAGACATCGATGAAAACTACAAGCTGATCAGCCATGTTAAGAACAAGAACTACAAGATTGACGATCGCAAGCTGGTGCAGATAGAAAACATGACGAGACGCATGTTCTTTGGCCTAAATAGATCTAGAACGATCAATGAGACACTTATCACCAGATTTCAGAATACGACCTCTGAAGATGATAGGATGATCTACTCGCCCTACTGATGCAAAAGAAGGACCAGCAGTTCCTTACAGATCATCTCACATCTGTCTCAGCAGCACTGACCTTAGCTCGTCGTCCAAGGCCTCCTCGCTTCCTGCAGCTGGGGTGAGAACTTTACAGCTCCACTCTATACAGCCCCGTGGTCATCCCCAAACATCTTTGACGGAGGAATAGACAAAGTCTCCAAGGAAGTCACTAAGGACTCCAGAGAAGTCCTTATGATCAAGTCGATGGACACGCTTAGCAAGCCAAGCCATCAGGCAGACTTCACAAAGATACTCAGGGAGATCTAAGTTCTCGGACTACAGAAAGCACGGATAGGAAGATAGCCAGCCAGGGGAAAAGATTCTTTCGCCGCCCATATGGCAACTTTAGAGGAGGGTCAGGAAGAGGCAGGACACCCAGAGGTTCCCGCAACTATAAACGCTGAAAGACAGGTTCGAACGACTGAGTCTTCCACCCCAGCCGCTCCAGTACAACCGGCTACAAGTGGGTGGACGCCTCCAACTACACTGGGAGAACTGGGGAATGTTAAAAGACCCTTATGTCTCCAACATTCTTCAACACGGATTTCTCAGATCCCACTACAGGCCACGCCCGCTGACAGTCAACCCTTACAAGTTCGACTTTACAGGCACAACAACTACCAAAGTTAAGAGAGGCGGTTACATCACTCATAACCAAGCAGGCCATAGAAGTACTAGATCAAGTAGACATCGAACCAGGCTTCTACTCCCCAGTTTTCCTAGTACCCAAGAAAAACTCCAAGGAGAAATACAGACTCATTTACAACATGAGCTTTTTCAACAGGAATTATCTACGAAACCACCAAAGTTTCGCATGATACACCTTCCTCAGTTACGGCAGTTGATTCTAGCCCCATGGATTACATGGCCAGTATAGATCTGCAAGACGCTTATCTACATATCCCGATACATCCCGAATCCAGGAAATATCTAAGATTTACACTAGACGGGCTACATTACCAATGGAAAGTAATTCCCATTCGCATATCATCAGCCCCTGGCTATTCAACGAGGATAACGAAACCGATTGTCACCTATCTACATCGCCTAGGGGCTACGAGTGCTCTACCTCGACGACGGATACAAGTAGATCAAGATCCACAGCATCTCAAACTACAGTTAAACTACATCATAAAGCTACTAACACAGCTAGGATGGTTAGTAAACTTACTCAAGTCGGACCTAGTACCATCGCAAAGATCTGCAGTTCCTAGGCATTCGATTTATCACTTAATCACAACCGTATCGTCGTACCAGAAGACCGCTGGCTCAAGATCCAACAGACCATTCCGTCAGCTCTCTACTCTCCGCTACCACTCACGACAATGGCAGAGCTGCGGTTGGGTCTCCTCACATCAGCCCAAGACATGACAGTCTCAGGCAGATTACAGTTACTTCATTACAGGTCTTCATCAATGCACATCTCGACGACCTACAACCATTCAGTCTACCAAACGCCTCAGACCTCATCTACTATGGTGGACCAGGAGGTCGAATGTTTCATGGTAAGGTATTTGTTTAGAAGAGCAGGAATTCAAAACCCATCTATATGTAGACGCTGCCGCAAGGTTGGGGAGCTCATCTCGCCAACCGGACGCATCAGGGTTATGGAATCAGCAAGAAAGCAAGCTCCATATAAACATGTTAGAGATGAAAGCTGTAATCAACGCCATACTTCATTGGAGCAACATTCTACAGAATGCGCGACTTTTAATGATTCATACCCGATAACTCGACAGTGGCGTTCTATGTGAACAAACAAGGTTCAACAAGATCACTGAACCTATTGACTTTAAGCTTTCAACTGTTCGATCTAATACACGATCTAAACCTACATGTCAGAGCATGTCACATTCCCGGAGCCAAGAATGTACTAGCAGACGCGACTCTCGGGGCCACATCAACCGGCCACCGACAGAATGGATGCTCAATACAGAAATATTTGCACAGATAATCAAGCAAATAGGAGCTGCCGCTAGTAGATCTATTCGCAACACGCTTCAACAATCAGCTACCGACATTCGTGGTCACCAGTCCCAGACCCACAAGCATGGGCAACGGACGCCTAAGCATATCCTGGGAAGGCCTCAATGCGTACGCGTTTCCGCCGCCAGCAATAATACCTCAAGTGTTACAGAAAATCAGACAAACACAGAGCCTCCAACTCACTTTGGTCAGCCCTACTGGCCGGCCAGAACGTGGTTTCCCATTCTAATTCAAGAAATCGGTCAACCAACACTAGAGCTACCCAAGCGCTCAAATCTATTAATACATCCACACACCAAACAGGTGCACGGAAGCCCAGAAGTATTCCAACTTCACGTATGGATTGTATTAAAATGTGTTTAAACAAGAGAGGGTATTCTACCAGGGCGGCAAAAGCGGTCACGCTTTGCCTTACGCTTATTCTACACGTGAACTTGTACTTAATTTACAAGTGGCACAGTTTTGAGAATTCACGAGTAAATAAGGGATTTACAGCAAGAGATGCTACTCATCCACAAGTGGCAGATTATTTGTGTTACTTACGACAAAACAAACATTTAAAAAGGCTCGACATTGTCAACATATCTTGCAGCTTTAGTTCTGTCATTACCATGAGAACGGGTGTTAGATTAACAAGAACTCCAGAGTTACTGGCCTTACTCACGGGCTTTCGATTGGAGGACCAAAAGCGGAAGTTCCACTTCCAGCTTGGGATCTGAATATAATGTTACAACACCTCACAAGTGAGGCTTATGAACCGCTGGAATCGACAAACTTTGAGTTTCTCTCACAGAAAACGCTTTTCCTGTTATCTCTAGCCACAGCAGCCAGGATGTCGGAAATTCACGCACTAGATTATGAGAGGATACAGTTTGATGACAATCAAAACACAGCACACCTGGGATTAAGATGGGATTTCATCGCCAAAAATCAACTACCAGGTCAACCAGACAGGTTATTTCATATCCCTGCATTATCCTCCATTCTCGGATCTCAAGATACACTGGACTTATCTCTATGCCCAGTCAGAGCTCTCAAAATCTATTTACGACGTTCCAAAACAAGGCTGAAGATTTCTCAAGCGATTATTCATTCCCTTGTCGGCAAATAACTCAGACAGAAGTCTCTCGTACCACCATATCTATATGGATAAGAACTGTCATACTTCACCACAAGGCAGCAGGACTGGACCCTCCAACAGCATCAAATCCCCATGAAATCAGGGCGTTAGCTTCCACTCTCGCCTTACACGGTAACTGTTCTTTGAATACAATTATGGAAGGATGCTTTTGGAAATCTAACATGGTGTTTGCTAATCACTACCTGAGAGATATCACCACCGAGGACGTCTCAGGCATTCACCATTTCGGTCCCTTGGTCCTCGCACAGCAGTTGACAGTCCCTCGTGAACGCTTAACACGTAGTCTTATGAGATTTATATGCATAATTGTTACATGCATTATCTAGCTTATAACTCTACGGAGTTCTAGCAGTATGTATATATGTTCAGTGGTATAGCTTCTCTATCAGAGTAAGCTTTGATATTGTTGTTTATAATATCTCAGTATATTATTAATGTAAATACCCCAGTATGGCATTATAACCTATGGCTTATAATAGAGGAATTATCCTAAGTCTATGCCTTTATGAAGTTCCCGTGGGGTTATTACAGTTAAATCTATATAAATCACTAATTCTATAAATCCAAAGTATTCTGTTTTGCCCACCTCCGTTTCCGTGAGGATTCTACAAGCAAAGAGCATGAGTCAGGATAAGGAAAATATGTAATTTTTGAGTAAAATTGATATTTTATACTTATCCTGACTCATGAGGTTAGCCTCCCATCCTCCCCACATAACACTTTGGATTTCCCTGTAAATTCAAGTGTTGGGCTCGCAAAATCAGGAGAGAGTGAAGCATGAGGCCAGAGGGTGGCGACACCTGTTCCCGCCAAAAGGGGCAAGGGAGGCAACTCGTGGTGAGTACCAATTAGTGATTTTACATTGAAGGGAGCTTCAATTAAGGAGATACAAGTGTTCCACTATGTTCGCAAGAAGAAGAAGACAAGCAAAAGAGCATGAGTCAGGATAAGTATAAAATATCAATTTTACTCAAAAAATTACATGACTTTCCTCCATTTACTGAGGAAAACACTTGTTCATCAGTTGTTTGAGTGATATGTGACACTAATTAATGAATCAACAAAGGAAGGTTGCATGAAATCATTAAAAGTAATGACTGATAAAGTATGTAATTCAACTGTTGGAAAATAATACATGTTCAACATTCATGTTAATGCTTACTGCATTTCTAATATTATAATAGGAAACATTGGAATCCATTTGTTTGTTACAGTGGAAATGTCTGTTACATGATGTTTGATATCATTAACAGATGTTCCCCAAATATGCTGACTTCATGTTTAACATCGGTGTTCTGGATGAGAGTGAGCGAGACTACTTCCAGTCACAGTCCGACCTGGCTGTAAAGGCAATGCAGCAACAGAGGTTTGGGGATGCTTTCAAGGTGGGTGGAAGGCAGCAACCGTACTTTCACATGGCCATACTTACATTGCAAGGTCACATTTCTACGATATGTAGGATTTTTGTTTGACTTCATTTAGCTTTTATGAACAGAGTTCTAAGATGCTAGGATTTTTGTTATTCTTCTTTTAGCTTTTATGAACATATTTCTAAGATACTAGGATTTTTGTTTGACTTCTTTTGACTTTTATGTTGCCAGCAGTCAGAAGCAATTTGTGATAAACACTGGTGAAATGTCCCAGAAATATGTTGAACTTGTATCTGTTCCTCAGTAATAGGCAATGAGGAAAGTAGGAAAGACTAACGTGTTTAGCTTTTTGTAAGAAGAGTTTGTTTTCACCTGTGTAGAAACAAGTCTTGTACCATGACTCAATTACCATGGGATGAGTGGAGAGAGTTTAGATGGAACTGTTCTGTATTGGAAAATGGAAATCACATAGGTCATATTCAGCAAGCATGTCACCTATGCAGGCCAGAAAGTCGGATTAGGTAGTTTCAATGTGGAACCAGGCTGATAGCGTGTCATCATTCCAGCACGGCTGGGTTCTTCCTCAAACCATTAACCAAAGGTTTGACAAGAAACTATTGTATATGCTCATTACAATGTGTTATGGTGGATGTTCATGATACAGTTTCTCATTTCAGATGTTTTCAATGAGGTGTAACTCCCGTCATCAAGCCACATTCATTTTCATCTAGTTAAAATAGATGTGAATTTTCTCTGTCAACAGATATTTTGGGCTCTGATATTAGGAGGCAAATCTTCCTTTGCAGCAAATGTCACTGGTTTAATTGATCATTACAACTTCCTCAGAACTGAGGTATATATCTGAGATTGCCTTCAGGCATACTGCTTTCCTGCCTCAATCCTTCCTCAACTGACTTGGCAACCATGACAAATGAGAGATGTTTGAAGCAGGCATGAAAGCATTAGAACCATGCTGCAGTTTGATATTTTAATACATCCTTTGTGAGATTTTAATTTTTACGACATGTTTGAAGAAGGATTCTGCCTTATTCAATTCTGAATCACATTCCATATGTGTTTATGACCGGATCATTAATGTTTCTTATTTTTAGGATTTATTCAGTACCAAATCTAAATATGTTATTGTTGGCATGGCAGATATGATATTATTTTTTTCCAAACATAGGACTCATCAGAAAAATTCCTAGAAATATTTAAAAACACATTGAGAATGGACATAATTATTAAAATCCTGCTACAACAGTGCTCAATTTGTTTCTTATATCTGATATTCTCAACACAGTGAAAACAGCTCAAACAAATGATTTGAAGAAGCAGGCCACTGACAACACTGTCTACGTAACTGTGTCAGTATGCTTGTGTCTGTTGATGCACTCACACCAACTGAATCTGTGGCACTCAATCCAGCTGATTCTGACTGTTGGTATGCTCACACCAACTGATTCTGTGTCACCAGTGCCTCTTGGTGTACTCACACCAACTGATTCTGTGTCACCAGTGCCTGTTGATGTACACCAACTGATTCTATGGCACCAAAGCCTGTTGATGTACACCAACTGATATCTGTGTCACCAGTGCCTGTTGATGTACACCAACTGATTCTATGGCAACAAAGCCTGTTGATGTACACCAACTGATTCTGTGGCACCAGTGCCTGTTGATGTACACCAACTGATTCTGTGGCACCAGTGCCTGTTGATGTACACCAACTGATTCTGTGTCACCAGTGCCTGTTGATGTACACCAACTGATTCTATGGTACCAAAGCCTGATGAACACCAACTGATATCTGTGTCACCAGTGCTTCTTGGTGTACTCACACCAACTGATTCTGTGTCACCAGTGCCTGTTGATGTACACCTACTGATTCTGTGTCACCAAAGCCTGTTGATGTACACCAACTGATTCTATGGCACCAAAGCCTGTTGATGTACACTAACTGATTCTATGGCACCAAAGCCTGTTGATGTAAACCAACTGATTCTGTGTCACCAGTGCATGCCTGTTGATGTACACCAACTGATTCTGTGTCACCAGTGCCTGTTGATGTACACCAACTGATTCTATTGCACCAAAGCCTGTTGATGTACACCAACTGATATCTGTGTCACCAGTGCCTGTTGATGTACACCAACTGATTCTGTGTCACCAGTGCCTGTTGATGTACACCAACTGATTCTATGGCACCAAAGCCTGTTGATGTACACCAACTGATATCTGTGTCACCAGTGCCTGTTGATGTACACCAACTGATTCTGTGTCACCAGTGCATGCCTGTTGATGTACACCAACTGATTTTGTGGCACCAGTGCCTGTTGATGTACACCAACTGATTCTGTGTCACCAGTGCATGCCTGTTGATGTACACCAACTGATTCTATGGCAACAAAGCCTGTTGATGTACACCAACTGATTCTGTGTCACCAGTGCATGCCTGTTGATGTACACCAACTGATTCTATGGCACCAAAGCCTGTTGATGTACACCAACTGATTCTATGGCACCAAAGCCTGTTGGTGTACACCAACTGATATCTGTGTCACCAGTGCCTGTTGATGTACACCAACTGATATCTGTGTTACCAGTGCTTCTTGGTGTACTCACACCAACTGATTCTGTGTCACCAGTGCATGCCTGTTGATGTACACCAACTGATTCTATGACACCAAAGCCTGTTGATGTAAACCAACTGATTCTGTGTCACCAGTGCATGCTTGTTGATGTAAACCAACTGATTCTGTGTCACCAGTGCCTGTTGATGTACAAAACTGATTCTATGGCACCAAAGCCTGTTGATGTAAACCAACTGATTCTGTGTCACCAGTGCATGCCTGTTGATGTACACCAACTGATTCTGTGTCACCAGTGCCTGTTGATGTACACCAACTGATTCTGTGTCACCAGTGCATGCCTGTTGATGTACACCAACTGATTCTATGGCACCAAAGCCTGTTGATGTAAACCAACTGATTCTGTGTCACCAGTGCATGCCTGTTGATGTACACCAACTGATTCTATGGCACCAGTGCCTGTTGATGTACACCAACTGATTCTGTGTCACCAGTGCATGCCTGTTGATGAACACCAACTGATTCTGTGTCTCCAGTGCCTGTTGATGTACACCAACTGATTCTGTGTCACCAGTGCCTGTTGATGTACACCAACTGATTCTATGGCACCAAAGCCTGTTGATGTACACCAACTGATATCTGTGTCACCAGTGCTTCTTGGTGTACTCACACCAACTGATTCTGTGTCACCAGTGCCTGTTGATGTACACCTACTGATTCTGTGTCACCAAAGCCTGTTGATGTACACCAACTGATTCTATGGCACCAAAGCCTGTTGATGTACACCAACTGATTCTATGGCACCAAAGCCTGTTGGTGTACACCAACTGATTCTGTGTCACCAGTGCATGCCTGTTGATGTACACCAACTGATTCTATGGCACCAAAGCCTGTTGATGTACACCAACTGATTCTGTGTCACCAGTGCATGTCTGTTGATGTACACCAACTGATTCTGTGTCACCAGTGCCTGTTGATGTACACCAACTGATTCTATGGCACCAAAGCCTGTTGATGTAAACCAACTGATTCTGTGTCACCAGTGCATGCCTGTTGATGTACACCAACTGATTCTATGGCACCAAAGCCTGTTGATGTACACCAACTGATATCTGTGTCACCAGTGCTTCTTGGTGTACTCACACCAAATGATTCTATGTCACCAGTGCCTGTTGATGTACACCAACTGATTCTGTGTCACCAGTGCATGCCTGTTGATGTACACCAACTGATTCTGTGTCACCAGTGCATGCCTGTTGATGTACACCAACTGATTCTATGGCACCAAAGCCTGTTGATGTACACCAACTGATATCTGTGTCACCAGTGCTTCTTGGTGTACTCACACCAACTGATTCTGTGGCACCAGTGCCTGTTGATGTACACCAACTGATTCTGTGTCACCAAAGCCTGTTGATGTACACCAACTGATTCTATGGCACCAAAGCCTGTTGATGTACACCAACTGATTCTATGGCACCAAAGCCTGTTGATGTACACCAACTGATATCTGTGTCACCAGTGCCTGTTGATGTACACCAACTGATTCTATGGCACCAAAGCCTGTTGGTGTACACCAACTGATTCTGTGTCACCAGTGCATGCCTGTTGATGTACACCAACTGATTCTATGGCACCAAAGCCTGTTGATGTACACCAACTGATTCTGTGTCACCAGTGCATGTCTGTTGATGTACACTAACTGATTCTGTGTCACCAGTGCCTGTTGATGTACACCAACTGATTCTATGGCACCAAAGCCTGTTGATGTACACCAACTGATTCTGTGTCACCAGTGCATGCCTGTTGATGTACACCAACTGATTCTATGGCACCAAAGCCTGTTGATGTACACCAACTGATTCTATGGCACCAAAGCCTGTTGGTGTACACCAACTGATATCTGTGTCACCAGTGCCTGTTGATGTACACCAACTGATATCTGTGTTACCAGTGCTTCTTGGTGTACTCACACCAACTGATTCTGTGTCACCAGTGCATGCCTGTTGATGTACACCAACTGATTCTATGACACCAAAGCCTGTTGATGTAAACCAACTGATTCTGTGTCACCAGTGCATGCTTGTTGATGTAAACCAACTGATTCTGTGTCACCAGTGCCTGTTGATGTACAAAAACTGATTCTATGGCACCAAAGCCTGTTGATGTAAACCAACTGATTCTGTGTCACCAGTGCATGCCTGTTGATGTACACCAACTGATTCTGTGTCACCAGTGCCTGTTGATGTACACCAACTGATTCTGTGTCACCAGTGCATGCCTGTTGATGTACACCAACTGATTCTATGGCACCAAAGCCTGTTGATGTAAACCAACTGATTCTGTGTCACCAGTGCATGCCTGTTGATGTACACCAACTGATTCTATGGCACCAGTGCCTGTTGATGTACACCAACTGATTCTGTGTCACCAGTGCATGCCTGTTGATGAACACCAACTGATTCTGTGTCTCCAGTGCCTGTTGATGTACACCAACTGATTCTGTGTCACCAGTGCCTGTTGATGTACACCAACTGATTCTATGGCACCAAAGCCTGTTGATGTACACCAACTGATATCTGTGTCACCAGTGCTTCTTGGTGTACTCACACCAACTGATTCTGTGTCACCAGTGCCTGTTGATGTACACCTACTGATTCTGTGTCACCAAAGCCTGTTGATGTACACCAACTGATTCTATGGCACCAAAGCCTGTTGATGTACACCAACTGGTTCTATGGCACCAAAGCCTGTTGGTGTACACCAACTGATTCTGTGTCACCAGTGCATGCCTGTTGATGTACACCAACTGATTCTATGGCACCAAAGCCTGTTGATGTACACCAACTGATTCTGTGTCACCAGTGCATGTCTGTTGATGTACACCAACTGATTCTGTGTCACCAGTGCCTGTTGATGTACACCAACTGATTCTATGGCACCAAAGCCTGTTGATGTAAACCAACTGATTCTGTGTCACCAGTGCATGCCTGTTGATGTACACCAACTGATTCTATGGCACCAAAGCCTGTTGATGTACACCAACTGATATCTGTGTCACCAGTGCTTCTTGGTGTACTCACACCAAATGATTCTATGTCACCAGTGCCTGTTGATGTACACCAACTGATTCTGTGTCACCAGTGCATGCCTGTTGATGTACACCAACTGATTCTGTGTCACCAGTGCATGCCTGTTGATGTACACCAACTGATTCTATGGCACCAAAGCCTGTTGATGTACACCAACTGATATCTGTGTCACCAGTGCTTCTTGGTGTACTCACACCAACTGATTCTGTGGCACCAGTGCCTGTTGATGTACACCAAACTGATTCTGTGTCACCAAAGCCTGTTGATGTACACCAACTGATTCTATGGCACCAAAGCCTGTTGATGTACACCAACTGATTCTATGGCACCAAAGCCTGTTGATGTACACCAACTGATATCTGTGTCACCAGTGCCTGTTGATGTACACCAACTGATTCTATGGCACCAAAGCCTGTTGGTGTACACCAACTGATTCTGTGTCACCAGTGCATGCCTGTTGATGTACACCAACTGATTCTATGGCACCAAAGCCTGTTGATGTACACCAACTGATTCTGTGTCACCAGTGCATGTCTGTTGATGTACACCAACTGATTCTGTGTCACCAGTGCCTGTTGATGTACACCAACTGATTCTATGGCACCAAAGCCTGTTGATGTAAACCAACTGATTCTGTGTCACCAGTGCATGCCTGTTGATGTACACCAACTGATTCTATGGCACCAAAGCCTGTTGATGTAAACCAACTGATTCTGTGTCACCAGTGCATGCCTGTTGATGTACACCAACTGATTCTATGGCACCAAAGCCTGTTGATGTACACCAACTGATATCTGTGTCACCAGTGCATGCCTGTTGATGTACACCAACTGATTCTGTGTCACCAAAGCCTGTTGATGTACACCAACTGATTCTATGGCACCAAAGCCTGTTGATGTACACCAACTGATACCTGTGTCACCAGTGCTTCTTGGTGTACTCACACCAACTGATTCTGTGTCACCAGTGCCTGTTGATGTACACCAACTGATTCTATGGCACCAAAGCCTGTTGATGTACACCAACTGATTCTATGGCACCAAAGCCTGTTGATGTACACCAACTGATATCTGTGTCACCAGTGCATGCCTGTTGATGTACACCAACTGATTCTGTGTCACCAGTGCCTGTTGATTTACACCAACTGATTCTGTGTCACCAGTGCATGCCTGTTGATGTACACCAACTGATTCTATGGCACCAAAGCCTGTTGATGTACACCAACTGATATCAGTTTCACCAGTGCCTGTTGATGTACACCAACTGATTCTGTGTCACCAGTGCCTGTTGATGTACACCAACTGATATCTGCCTCGCCTCTTGGTGTACTCACACCAACTGATTCTATGGCACCAGTGCCTGTTGATGTACACCAACTGAAATCTGTGGCATGTTGATGTGCTTATGTCTGCTGATTGTTACCATAAGCAGCTCATGCTTTTTATGATATGAATGCCTCTAACATATGTGGTACTTCTTGCTTTTGGACCTGTGCATCTACAAATAGACATTGTAGGCTGTCATTCAGGATCTTTGCCTATCCATGAGACCTTATTTCAGGGTCCTTACCCTTCATTTCAGCTCTGTTTAGTGACATGCTATATGTTTCCTCTGGGGAACATTGTTGAGTACCTTCCACGTGATCATCTAGGAGAGCATAGAAGTGAGGAGCTATTGGAGAAATGACCCTCTTGGAACAACTGGGCTCAACAATCAATGGGGCTCATTCAGAGATAACCCTCTCGCAGTCCGTACACAATGTTACACCTCTTCAGGGATCAGTTTCACATAAGCCTTGATTCACCTTTCAGTTCTGGAAGCCAGGTGGTAAGGGACTCAATTACTGATGCCTGAAGCTCCATCTAGAGACATTAGGGTACATCAGGTGCAAAATACTGTTGGGTCTCCTCTTCTACTATGGGTATACTGAGATCAGCCTGATGAACTTGTGCCGTTCAACCAGTCTGCGTCCCCATCTCCAGTGTTTGACTTTCAAGTCAAAAACCTTCCTTGGAGTCTCTTGCACAGACATTGTGCCCTCTTACCATCTGTTGATGATGAACAAGTCTCAGCCAGGGGGATGCACCTAATAGTTCAGACCACAGCAGTCATCTTTTGGAGCAAACATTTCAAGATGACTGGTACTGTTTCAATTCATTAGAGACAAAATCTTTACTCGTTCTTTTCAATGCCTTGTTTGGCCCTGGCCTAACAGAATTCATGCTCCATCTGCAGATGTTACACCTTCTAGGCAATTACCAAATATAGGGACACCAAATATTAGCCTGTTTGCATTTTCAATCAAATGTGACAATACAGTTTGTTCAAGATCAGATGCTTGACAGCCTTTGCAACTTACTAGCCCAACTGCATGCGCGTTCGGTCCTCAGATGAACTCATCCATCACATTGGGTAAACTGGCCCAGTGAGCTGTCTCTCACTGTTGCTATAGTACTGATTTCCCTTATCAGTGTCACACTTGTTCACCAATGATATCCAGTTCACCAATCACTGTCAATCTTTACATGATACTTCAGAACAATATTCATCAATTTTCACATTAAAAATCAATGTAGTTCAAAGTATTAAACATATAAGAGTTATGGAATTCTATCAGTCACAAATGTAATCATGGCCAATGCACAAGTACATTTTGAGTTTGTTCAGAATAAGCATGGTCATGAAAATCTAGTTGACCTTGATGACGGACCCCTCGATGATGTTGAATTTGGCAGATTATGTGATGGACTTTTGGGTTGAGGGTAACCATGGGTGGCAAACTTGAAACCATCATGACACCATTGGCCCTCATAACACCACCCATGTAGACGGTTGGCACAATAAGATGAGAAAGATCATGGTCTTGCCTCATCTCAACCTCTACAAGTTCATCGAGTTTTTCAAAACCGAGCAAGGCTACACTGAAGCAACAATCCTTCAACTTCAACATTGCAGTGCTGTATGTTTCAGAAAGCGAAAGTATCGCAATATGGAAGATGTCCAACAACGGAAAACCTGCCACCCCTTTAGCAATAATAGGGCCCACCTGCCATTTAATCCGTTTGTTGTTCTATGGTCCCAAATGTTGGGAGATCGAGAACACACCATTAAAACAGTATGTAGTGATATACTACTGGTCCTCCTGGCCTTGCCAGGCCTTGCCTTTTACAGAGTCCTGACATTGTTTCTTTGGCAGAGCCAGAGCTTTTTCACTCTGTGTTATGGATATTGGTGAAAAGATGCATATTTCACACTGTCATAAAAGTTCATCTTACATTCTATGCTTAGATACTGTAATTTGTAAAAACGTTAATACACAGAAATGTATATTCTTGTTCGCTTATTTGTTAACATTTGCCAAATCAATACTAGCAAGCTCAGCTTTAGAACAAGAGGAAGATAGGTGTGGCCTGAGCTATCTCTATTCTGTTTCTTACAGATTATGGGTAAAGTCTTAAATAACGGCCAAGATGCATACTTTTATAATGTGACGGGCTTGGATGATCTTTACAACTTTATTCTCAGCGAGGTAGATTCTTGAAAGTGTTTTCCTGCCACAGATATTCTCTGTCTTTCTGACACTAGAAGAAACTGATTTTGATGTTAACTGTTGTTCAATTACCAGGTGTTTGATGAGCTGTTAAATGGAGATCTCACACAAGGGCCTCCATACTTCCAAAACGTGACAGGGACTTCCAATTACTACAATTTCCTGCTTACAACGGTAAATTGTGTTACTGGTAAACAAACTGTACTTAACAGGATATCAAGTTGACCTGGATGAAATGGCATTGGGTGATACACATACATTTTGACTTTTTCCTCTCAATATTTGCTTTTTTTTGTAAAGGATTATAGAAGTTTGTAAGATCATATCCTCTCATGTAAAGACAAAGCAGTGTTTGCTAACATCATGTCCTTGTAAATTTTCATTTAGCGTTATTCAGTGAAATATTGGTGATCAAAACCCAGGCTAGCCCTGAAACTAAGGCTTCCTACAGCTGATTGAAGTGTATCCTTTGTGTGGTTAGTCTACCAGTACACATTCTATCACTTATCATATGCAGTCAGTTTCTTCAGTGAGCCAGCTTCACTTACGCTCTCAGTAAGTGCCATGTTGCCATCTTGGTTTCCAGCATTATTAACCCAAGCTGTTGCATGCACTGCACTGAAATATTCTATTTTGCTTAAACTATAATTAAATCCTGCTAATTTCATTAATCTAGTACACTAATACCTGTATCATTTAATAACATTCACTTGCTAACAGTAATATACACACAGTAGAAGTGCTTGACCATTGTTCCCCACATTGAACAGTAATATACACAGAGTGGAAGTGCTTGACCGTTGTTCCCCACATTAAACAGTAATATACACACAGTAGAAGTGCTTGACCATTGTTCCCCACATTGAACCGCAATATACACACAGTAGAAGTGCTTGACCATTGTTCCCCAAATTGAACAGTAATATACACACAGTAGAAGTGCTTTACCATTGTTCCCCACATTGATCAGTAATATACACACAGAAGAAGTGCTTGACCATTGTTCCCCACATTGAACAGTAATATACACACAGTGGAAGTGTTTGACCGTTGTTCCCCACATTGAACAGTAATATACACACAGTGGAAGTGCTTGACCGTTGTTCCCCACATTAAACAGTAATATACACACAGTGGTAGTGCTTGACCATTGTTCCCCGTATTTGAACACTAATATACACACAGTAGATGTGCTTGACCATTGTTCCCAACATTGAACAGTAATATACACACAGTGGAAGTGCTTGACCATTGTTCCCCAAATTGAACAGTAATATACACACAGTAGAAGTGCTTGACCATTGTTCCCCACATTGAACAGTAATATACATACAGTAGAGGTGCTTGACCATTGTTCCCAACATTGAACAGTAATATACACACAGTGGAAGTGCTTGACCATTGTTCCCCACATTGAACAGTAATATACACACATTAGAAGGGCTTGACTATTGTTCCCCACATTGATCAGTAATATACACACAGTAGAAGTGCTTTGACGATTGTTCCCCACATTGAACAGTAATATACACACAATAGGAGTGCTTGACCATTGTCCCCTCATTGAACAGTAATATACACACAGTGGAAGTGCTTGACCGTTGTTCCCCACATTGAACAGTAATATACATACAGTAGAGGTGCTTGACCATTGTTCCCAACATTGAACAGTAATATACACACAGTGGAAGTGCTTTGACGATTGTTCCCCACATTGAACAGTAATATACACACAATAGGAGTGCTTGACCATTGTCCCCACATTGAACAGTAATATACACACAGTGGAAGTGCTTGACCATTGTTCCCCACATTGAACAGTAATATACACACAGTGGAAATGCTTGACCATTGTTCCCCACATTGAACAGTAATATACACGATGGTAGTGCTTGACCATTGTTCCCCACATTGAACAGTAATATACACACAGTGGAAGTGCTTGACCATTGTTCCCCACATTGAACAGTAATATACACACAGCGGAATTGCTTGACCATCTTTCCCCACATTGAACAGTAATAAACACACAGTAGAAGTGCTTGACCATTGTTTCCCACATTGAACAGTAATAAACATACAAAAGTGCTTGACCATTGTTCCCCACATTGAACAGTAATATACACACAGTGGAAGTGCTTGACCTTTGTTCCTCACATTGAACAGTAATATACACACAGTAGAAGTGCTTGACCACTGTTCCCCACATTGAACAGTAATATACATACAGTAGAAGTGCTTGACCATTGGTCCCCACATTGAACAGTAATATACACACAGTAGAAGTGCTTGACCATTGTTCCCCACATTGAACAGTAATATACACACATAGTGGAAGTGCTTGACTATTGTTCTCCACATTGAACAGTAATATACACACAGTGATTTGGTTGACCATTGTTCCCCACATTGAACAGTAATATACACACAGTAGAAGTGCTTGACCATTGTTCCCCACATTGAACAGTAATATACACGATGGTAGTGCTTGACCATTGTTCCCCATCGAACAGTAATATACACACAGTAGAAGTGCTTGACCATCTTCCCACATTAAACAGTAATATACACACGGTAGAAGTGCTTGACTATTGTTCCCCACATTGAACAGTAATATACACACAGTAGAAGTGCTTGACCATTGTTCCCCACATTGAACAGTAATATACACACAGTGGAAGTGCTTGACCATTGTTCCCCACATTGAACAGTAATATACACACAGTGGAAGTGCTTTGACGATTGTTCCCCACATTGAACAGTAATATACACACAATAGGAGTGCTTGACCATTGTCCCCACATTGAACAGTAATATACACACAGTGGAAGTGCTTGACCGTTGTTCCCCACATTGAACAGTAATATACACACAGTGGAAGTGCTTGACCATTGTTCCCCACATTGAACAGTAATATACACACAGTAGAAGTGCTTGACCATCTTTCCCCACATTGAACAGTAATATACACACAGTAGAAGTGCTTGACCATTGTTCCCCACATTGAACAGTAATATACACACAGAAGTGCTTGACCATTGGTCCCCACATTGAACAGTAATATACACACAGTGGAAGTGCTTGACCATTGGTCCCCACATTGAACAGTAATATACACACAGTAGAAGTGCTTGACCATTGTTCCCCACATTGAACAGTAATATATACACAGTAGAAGTGCTTGACCATTGTTCCCCACATTGAACAGTAATATACACACAGTAGAAGTGCTTGACCATTGTCCCCACATTGAACAGTAATATACACACAGTAGAAGTGCTTGACCATTGTCCCCACATTGAACAGTAATATACACACAGTAGAAGTGCTTGACCATTGTTCCCCACATTGAACAGTAATATACACACAGTGGAAGTGCTTGACCATTGGTCCCCACATTGAACAGTAATATACACACAGTGGAAGTGCTTGACCATTGGTCCCCACATTGAACAGTAATATACACACAGTAGAAGTGCTTGACCATTGGTCCCCACATTAAACAGTAATATACACACAGTGGAAGTGTTTGACCGTTGTTCCCCACATTGAACAGTAATATACACACAGTGGAAGTGCTTTACCGTTGTTCCCCACATTGAACAGTAATATACACACAGTGGTAGTGCTTGACCATTGTTCCCCGTATTTGAACACTAATATACACACAGTAGATGTGCTTGACCATTGTTCCCAACATTGAACAGTAATATACACACAGTGGAAGTGCTTGACCATTGTTCCCCAAATTGAACAGTAATATACACACAGTAGAAGTGCTTGACCATTGTTCCCCACATTGAACAGTAATATACATACAGTAGAGGTGCTTGACCATTGTTCCCAACATTGAACAGTAATATACACACAGTGGAAGTGCTTGACCATTGTTCCCCACATTGAACAGTAATATACACACATTAGAAGGGCTTGACTATTGTTCCCCACATTGATCAGTAATATACACACAGTAGAAGTGCTTTGACCATTGTTCCCACATTGAACAGTAATATACACACAATAGGAGTGCTTGACCATTGTCCCCACATTGAACAGTAATATACACACAGTGGAAGTGCTTGACCGTTGTTCCACATTGAACAGTAATATACATACAGTAGAGGTGCTTGACCATTGTTCCCAACATTGAACAGTAATATACACACAGTGGAAGTGCTTTGACGATTGTTCCCCACATTGAACAGTAATATACACACAATAGGAGTGCTTGACCATTGTCCCCACATTGAACAGTAATATACACACAGTGGAAGTGCTTGACCATTGTTCCCCACATTGAACAGTAATATACACACAGTGGAAATGCTTGACCATTGTTCCCCACATTGAACAGTAATATACACAATGGTAGTGCTTGACCATTGTTCCCCACATTGAACAGTAATATACACACAGTGGAAGTGCTTGACCATTGTTCCCCACATTGAACAGTAATATACACACAGTGGAAGTGCTTGACCATTGTTCCCCACATTGAACAGTAATATACACACAGCGGAATTGCTTGACCATCTTTCCCCACATTGAACAGTAATAAACACACAGTAGAAGTGCTTGACTATTGTTCCCCACATTGAACAGTAATATACACACAGTGGAAGTGCTTGACCATTGTTTCCCACATTGAACAGTAATAAACATACAAAAGTGCTTGACCATTGTTCCCACATTGAACAGTAATATACACACAGTGGAAGTGCTTGACCTTTGTTCCTCACATTGAACAGTAATATACACACAGTAGAAGTGCTTGACCACTGTTCCCCACATTGAACAGTAATATACATACAGTAGAAGTGCTTGACCATTGGTCCCCACATTGAACAGTAATATACAAACAGTAGAAGTGCTTGACCATTGTTCCCCACATTGAACAGTAATATACACACATAGTGGAAGTGCTTGACTATTGTTCTCCACATTGAACAGTAATATACACACAGTGATTTGGTTGACCATTGTTCCCCACATTGAACAGTAATATACACACAGTAGAAGTGCTTGACCATTGTTCCCCACATTGAACAGTAATATACACGATGGTAGTGCTTGACCATTGTTCCCCACATTGAACAGTAATATACACACAGCCGGAATTGCTTGACCATCTTTCCCCACATTAAACAGTAATATACACACGGTAGAAGTGCTTG